CTGCACGACAACCTCACCCATGTGCGGTCCAAGGGAGGTTGATATTCCGCCTCAAGATCGTCAGCCACCGGCAAACCCGAATCCCGGCAATCCAGGGGAGGTGGATATTGGGGTTGACCCCATGAGGCTCATCCTAGGTTGTCTTCCGTTACAGGCCCAAGCACGGTTATCCATTGTCAACAGAGCATGGTAAAGGGCGGCGACTCAATCAGACGTAGGCACCCGGCAACCCAGCACTGGATCCATTTATTGATCCGCAAGATGCGGGCCTTTGAGACTATGGAGCAGGCCGTGTTGAGAAGGCTCGGTCTTGGGCTCATTACACGCCTACCTCGAAATTGAAAGCCCAAATGTAGGGTTTAGAGCATCTTCAGTGCGGATATATTGAGTCCAAAACATATGTGCCACATAAGTATTTTAAAGTCTCCTGGAAAAAAAATTGGACAGGCTTGAAAATATTTTATGAACATAAATTTATAAGTTTAATATAATTAACTACCTATCATTTAACATTTAAGTCATATTTTTATGTTATCGTGATGAAAATATTTTATGAAGTCTAAAACAATTAACAACATTTAAGTCATATCTTTATGTTATCGCTATATTATTAATAAATACAAGAGGTATTTACGAAATACATTTAAGTCATATTTTTATGTTGTCGCTATATTATTAATAAATACAAGAGCTATTTACGAAATACATTTAAGTCATAGAGGTACTTACACTACAACATAAATGACTTTTGATAACATTCTTATTGTAACACTTTATAATTTGTTAGTTTATGTATCACATTATTGTAACACTTTTGACATTATAAATTTTTTTGATATTGATGTAACACTTTTGTAACATTTTACTAAAATGCAATACTTTTTTGTAACACTTTGAATTAAGTAACACTTTAGAAGTAACACTTTTATATATTTATAAGTATATGTAAATAATAGGAGTATAAGAAATATTATAACTTTTCATTCCAATCCCAAATCTCTCCGCAACGCAGCTTTCTCTGTTCTTTTTCTTCACCTCCAATTCTTCATTCCAGATTTCGCGGTCCCACCTCGCCTCGCCTCACCTCGCCTATCTGTTAAGGCACAACGAAAACGACTATATCACCACCCCATATTCCAGGACCGTACAGGCCTGTTCAGAGCTAGCCGGCCAGATCAGCCAAGATGGACTAGCCGTTCACCTATCGCGAGCTCGGCGAGATGATGCGAGAGGCCGACACCAACGGGGGAGACATCATCAGCTTCACCGTGTTCGCCAGCATCCTCGGTAAATCTGTTGTTGATTATATTGGATTGTCCGTTTGCATCTATTTTTTGTCCTCTTTTGCCAAAATTAGGGTTTTTGTTTTGGAACCTTTAGTCCTGTTGTACTTTACATTAATAAAGTTAAATGTTTTGCTTTGTTTGATGATGATGGCAATTCTTGATTGTGATTTGTTCTTGTGGGGGAAAATTGGCTTTGCTTTGGCAGCCAGGGATGGTTGTGAACTATGTGAAAAATTGGTCTTAAAAAGTTTAGGATAGAATGGGGCAGGGCATGCTAACCCGCCCGGGAGCAGGCAAGGTCATGGGCTTGCTCAGTTCGACCCGTCGCGGGTTATGGGCCAGGTGGGTCCAAAGGGAATAAGTTGATGATGAATTCGTGTGTAATAGAAGAGCTTTTGTTTGTGCGTCTGGTGGTGTGCTTGAACATTTAAAGACTGAAACTTGGGTGGTAATATGTGCGAATTGGCGTTCAATTTTTGAAATGGTGCTGATATAATCGAATTTAATGTTTGGGGGCCATTACATTAGTTAGAATGATGATGCCCTGCTTTGTACTTTTTGTATTAGGACTTTAGAAATTTAAGTTTCACGATCAAAGCTTCGAGTTTTTTTAAGCGGATTTGTCCATCCTAGCATATTGCATGAGATATAGAGTGATGGGTAGAATATTTTTTGAGGTGCCCAGAGGGTTGGTTCATTTATTTGAGCGTGATAACTTATTGTCATTTCTTTATTTTCATTTCTTTCTCAATCTGTTCAAGAGAGAATGAGTTTTTGATACTTTTTTAATCCTGTTTGCTCAAGATGAATGGAAACTATTTGACCTTCATGTGATTGCCATAACATGGAATTGGGATCAGCATGAGTGCTGATGGGGGGATGGATAATGCAATTCTTAAACAAATTTCAGAGGATTTTTTTTCTACGTGATTACTATGGGGAGGAGCACACATGATATGTTTTGAAATTTTATTAGGTTAATTAGCTAGAGAGGTATGCCTTTTAAACACTTCTTGAAGGCAGCGTCTTATTTTCAAATTCCATTTTTATGGGGAGGAGAAAGTTCTTTTTTTTTTTTCAACAAATGAGCATGTAAATAGCTTATTCAACACTCTCTTTACACTAATTCATTTTTGTATCAGTTGCTCTTGTTAGCAAACATGATAAACCTACGATTTCTATTTTCAGCTTCTAGGATGATAAACTTTTTCAACACTTTTTGCAAGTGATTTTATCTATCAATTTGGGGAGAAATGGGTTTTGTTATGAGTATTTAAGGTGCTCTATTGTTTAGAACAAAGAATGTACGAAACTAATTGGAAGGATATCTCCCTTTTGTTGGTTGGGTTCCTCTGTCCGTACCATCCTAGTTGAGGTATGCTTGTTGAGTTTTCCTTCATTCAGTTTTTAGCCTTCAAAACGATTTGAACTTTTGACTGAGATACTAATTTATGTGATATTTGTTCTTACTTGAGATCAGAGAACTTAGAAGGCTTTCGACATCGAAGAAAATGTTAGAGAAGGAGCTCGAAAACGCTAATAAACACAAGGTTTGTTGATGTCACATGCTTAATGCTTTTATAGTTTGTTATTAATCGATAACAAGAACTATTAAATATGTTGGTTAATTTCATTAAGAAACTACCTCTAAGGTGCAAACTAATTTGATGCATGAGATACATGAGACAAACATGAGGTCACTTAAGGACTATATGCGCACGTCTATATATCTCATCAACTAATTCATCTTTTGTTCTCCATACTCCGAGGTGAAAACTACTAACAAGTGTCAAATAACTTGCCCATTACATGAGATAGACATGAGATAGACGTGAGGTCACTTAAGGTATTTGGAACATACAAACTGGTTCTAGGAACCTTTGTACACCTCCATGTTGAACTTCATTTGTTCTGTTGATCCTCACTTTGTACGATTGATGGTTATGCTTAGGATAAGACTGAGAGCGTAACTAGAGCGATCGGCTACATTGCTTCTTGGTTGGTCAAATTCTTGCTTCAGAAAGGGTACATTGTCAAGGCCTCTGTTCGTGATCCCGGTGAGTTCCCTTGATATTTTCTCTCTTTTTTTTTTGTGTTTTCGCCTTGTTTTTCTAACAGTCAATCATGGTAATAAACGTCAGATTTGATGGTTTTTTTTTTGTGATCTTTTGTTTTATGTGTGTCATTGCAAGAGATTTATGTTTTACAGTCGGCTTTGCATTTCATCGCATGTCAAGAATTATTGTATAAATTAATATATAAATAGATGAATTAAGATATAAATTAAGATATAAATTATTGTCCTATTGGTAGTCATATATAAATATAGACCTTAGCTTTTTTGATTTCCCAAGTTAACTGTTATTAATTTGAAAATCTCTTAATAATTATATCTGTCCTGGCATAATGAATTTAGATATTCTTGCTTCTCATTTTAAGTGTTTTGAGTTACTGTTAATTAGATATCTTAATTAAGCAATCTACATTATTACAGCATAAAGAGCAGGTCTATTTATTTATTTCATGATGGTATGACTATCATGCAATTTAGCTAACTATTTTGGGACCTATAAGTTGATTGTGCTGCTATTAGATTGTCTTGTAATGCCTATTTGAGGTTAAAAGGAGTATTTTTTTTCCTATTAATAAAGAACTATATAGAGAGGTTTATTTTGAACGTATACGAGTAACTTGTTAGGGGTTCATGCTTTAATTTCCTAATTGAAAATACTTTAAGATTCTTGAGATGACCCTCTTGGTAGGGTTTTAATGGTTTGATAGGATATTTAGGTTGTTACTTTGATATGCATACTTTGAGATAAAGTTGCATGCATATGCAGTTAGTTAGTTAGTTTGTTTTATTTTTCAATCTCGTTAAATTTAGATTTACTAATGATTGTTTGTGTGTAATACGAAAATCTTACTTTTCAGGATGGTGTAGGTGAAGCAACAAATTTATAATCCATGGTTCTTGTTACCTCGGCATATTGATGATGACATTAAATTAATGGAGTTGACAAGTGAGGGTGGTGGCATTTATGATGGATATTTAGAAGATATCTAGACATTTTACTAATTTATGTAAACCATGTTTAGAATGTTGTGTTTTTGTTGTAGATGTGGATGGAAAGAGCATTTTCGTACATAGACATGATTATTGATTTAATTTATAAAAGTTATTTGTAAATTTAATTGTCAAATAATATTAAATTATGAATTATTTAGTGATACCAAAAAGTATTATTTATAATGAAAAGTGTTGCATAAAAAAAGTTGAAAGTGTTGCAATAGGAACATGAAAGTGATACAAAATAAAATAAAATGTTACACTTCAATTAAAAGTGCAATAGAAAAAATGTTGCATATAATTAAGAAAGTGCTACATAAAAGTTATAGATAACACTTGAAATGCGTTACTTGAAAATGATACAATAAGTTATTTTAAGTAACACATAAAATAAGTGTTAGAAAAAGTTACATTATATGTTACCTTATACAATAGGTAGCATAAGCAATTGTAGCGCCAATAATTGTGCTACCTATCATCTATAGTAACATTTTTTGGTTATTAAGTATCATTTATATGGTGTTACTAAAGGCCATTTATGTTGTAGTGTTACGAAAAATAATTAGGTTCGGATTATCCATAAATATGTTGATTATTTATGGTCATTTTAGATATATTAATTGTATTTTAGTATCATTCCATATTACAACCATTGAATTGTAAATGGAATTTAAAAATTAATAACTTTTCTATTTCTTATCAGTTTTACACATATAATATATCAAATTATTCATCTCTTTATGGACTTCAACTTGACATCCATATTGTATGTATATAATATATAAATTATATTTATCTTTATATTAATTATAAAATTATTTATTAATATTAATTAAAAATAAAATATTTATCAATTAATAGATGTATGTTTAAAGTAGTTATATTGTATAAACTAGAAAATTATTATAATATAACACAGGTAAGTTGCGCAAATAATAAGTGTTATTCAAAAATAATAATAATAATATATATTTTTGTAAAAAGCAGTATTTAAATTTTAAAAATACTTTTTGTCATTAATTTTGAATTTTAAGAATAATTTTTTTAACAAACACATGTGTAGTACATTGATGGTCTACTAGTAATTATTTAAAACGGTATATCATAAGCTTATGACAACGGGCATGACTAGTTATTTTGCATGCTTTTATTATTGTCTGTTTTGTTATTATGGTCTTAAGGCAATCTGAGTTTATTTTAGAAGTGTTTAGGAGCATTAGGTGATTTTTGCTTGATTTTTATTTTTTTCTTATTTTTTTTACTAATTTTTGTTAATTTTTATTTTATAGTTTATTGAAAATATTATTCGAATAATTTTCACAGGAAATCTCATCGGACGGCCGAAAACCCTCATAGACCACCGCTGGCTGCCACCCCAGATCAACAGCTGCTGGCCGCGGACATTGCTTCTGGCATAGAAATTGAGAGGCCAATATGTAATAATTTGATTTGTGACAGTACATCGAGAATCCCAAATAAGTCTTTAAGTTTGTTTATTGAAGGCAACTTGAACATCTATTGGAAGAGCAAGGGAAGCGCGACTTTAATTTTTTTTATTATATTTGATCCTTTATTATTCCTGAACTGATTGACTTATTTATTTTATGGGAAGATTGGTGCCATATTACCTTTACTGGAGTTTAGGAAAATCAACGTGGAATTACCTTATCTTACTTGAAGGAGAGAGAGAGAGAGACGCATGGACTAAATAGAACTTGGACATACACACTTACCAAAGTGAAGAAAGTGACTATTTTGAAAGTTGTTGAAATACCTACTTAGCTTCAGATGTTCTTTCAAGCTCTGTTGACTTTGTTTTCAGGTTCATTTCTGAATGATTTAGCTTCTTTCTCAGATGTACATGTTCGATCATTATCCGAGAGACTTCCTTCTTAAGATGTTTGACTTCATTGCCTTTTTCACCCAACAATTTTCGAATAGAGAATAGTTCAGTTCTCAACGCCTCAAATGCCTGGGTCTTTTCTATACAACCTTGTTTAAACAGTTTTAGTCCGTTCTCGACAATGATAGTTCGAGCTTTAGCAGCATCCAATTCACTTCCTTTATGATGACCTAGAAAAGAAATCACCTTTTCATTTAGTGATCCATTGATTTCCATCAACTTGTGCACTTCATTCCTCAGGCTTCCACTTCTTCGGTTGAATTATTTTTCCGAGTCTGACTTTTAAGCTTCTTGATCTCACTACGAAGCTTCTTCATCACTTCAGCCGCATGAGAACATTTCTCCATGGCCAACAAATTCACTGGATCGATCCTATACTGTTGTTTTGATCAACATCATCTTCAGAACCATCAGACTCGTTCATGCTTTCCTCAAATTTCGTAGGAACATGAGAAGATGCTAGGCACATAAACTTGTTTCCAGTAGAGTGAATCGCCATGTTGCTTGTGTGTGATAGTTCTTCAGATTCTTCCTCATCCGAGTCCTCCCAAGTGGCCTTTAAGGACTTATTCTTCTTCTTGAGATTATCACACTCATATTGAAAGTGTCCATACCCTCGACACTCTGAACATTGATCCTTTTCAATCTTTTGAGTGTCTGACTTAGAGGAATGAGTGTTGGTTCACTTCTCCTGAAATGAGTTCTTGTTATTGTTGATGTCCTTCTTCCAAACAAATCTACTTTTGTACAAATTTTGACTCATTTTGTCATAGTTCCTAGAAAACAGTGATAGGGATTCCTTTAATTCACTATCTTCCTCAAGTGAACCTTAATTCACTATTTTCCTCAAGTGGACCTTCATCATCATCACTTTATTCTTTTTGTGATGTCACAGCTGCTTTAAGAGCAAGTCCTTTGTTCTTGACTTTGTCGTAGTCATTGTTGATCTCGAACATTCTGAGATCTCTAAGGAGGTCATCAAGGTCGAGTGGCTTGACTCTTTGAAAACTTTCAAGAGCTGTGATCTTTCTCTGAACCGAATCGGTATTATCCGTATAATCTTCTAAACTTAACGAGTTTCAGAGTTCTCTTCTCCTAGCATTTCACTATGATTCACAAGATCACAAAATCTAGCATAGTACATATCAATAATTTCGTCTTTCATTTTGATATCATCAAACGCTATGGTCACTCGTTGAAGTCTGGAAGCCTCTACTGTCGTCGAACCTTCAAACTGACGCTCTAGGACCTGACGTGCATCCTTCGCCGTTTTACACTGAACTATGATCTTGTGTCGCGTCTAGTCGACGACCATCAGAATTGCATACAAGGCTCAAAAATTCGCTTCTTCCTGTAATTTTCGGCATCTGTCCACATATCTCTTGGTTTAAGTACAACTGCTGATGAAGTTTATGTCCCTTGGTCAGGTGCTTCTATTATGACTGGATACGTCCACCCCATTTTCACACTTTCCCAAGATCATTTTCCAAGAGATCCCAGGAAGATAATCATCATTGATTTCCAGTAGGAATAGTTCGAGTCGTCCAATTACAGAGGCCTAGACATGGATCCACCATCAAGATTCATGGTTGCTCGTTTAACAGATCCTCAGAATCTTCGTGTATGTGTACGAAAACCGCTCTGGTTCCAATTGAAATTGTGGGGGAAATAAACCAGAATTGCGCTAAATATATAAAACAGTAAACTTATATGTAAGTTCACACAATTACGGAAGTAGAGTTCTACAAAACATGAACCTTCAGGGGAGCATCCCACACCCCTTCCGGAACTCTTTCATATACGTGAATGCTTGACTCAATACAAACCAGATTTACAATGAAGATTCCCTCTTTACTACCTATTCCATAATTACTCACTATACTACTTTTTCGACCACAAATCCATTGTTGATTTTACAACTCAAATCCCTTGAGTTCTTTCTAAGTGTTTCTCTCGAACACTTAAATAAAGAGTTTATGATGAATAAGTTTTCAAGCTCTCCACTCCACAATCATAAAAAATAAAATCAAAACGTAGAATCAACTCCTCTCTCTCAACTCCCTTCTCAACACAGATTGATCTTCAAATCTTTGAGTTATTTTTCTTCGTTGTGCGCAAGTCCTTTTATGTTAATTCACAAAATGGTAATTTTTCTTGGACTCGTCAATCTCCACAATTGTTGCGTTCCAACTCCTCAAGATATCTTCTCTCCCTCGCAATGCACCTTTTGTATGGTAAGTTATCCTCGCAATATTCTGTTGCCATAATGGAATTTCTTCTATGTGCTCGATTCCTATGTATGGTAAGCAGGATTTCTTCCTTGTAATCGAGCGTAGCTGCTCCAAGGAAGGTCGATTTTCTGGTAATATTATAGACACTTAATAAGTTCAAAATAAAATAGATTTAAAGGAATAAAATAAAATAGAATAAAATAATAATTTCCCTTTTTATTTTCGGACAACTCCAGTATGCAATGCAAGTTCCAGCTTCACTGGAGTTTGTCGATTTAATGTGAACTTTCACATATCCACAGTAGCTGTAGCCTGAAAACTCTTCATCGGGGTCGTACAACACACATTTAATTGTTTGGACAGGCACATTTAATGCGTCATGCTACCCTTTGAGTCTAGAACTGACTGGCTGACAGGTTAACCGGCGGAGATGTGATTTCCCATCATTAGACAGCAAGTTGTCTTTATTTTATTGCCTTCTACTCGGCATGCTAGTCCAGCCCGAGTTTATGTCCCTGTCTTGGTTTTAGCCTCGCTATCTCTTGCAGTTTGGTTCTTCCTAGCATGATGGCTGGCCTGCGAACCCAACTCGACTTACTGGATGTGGGCTTTCTTTTTCTCTCATTTGTGGGCTCGCGTTTCAACTCGGGGGTCAACATGGTGTATGAGTGAGAACGCTCAAAATTAAAACCGCTCAAAAACTCAGTATCTAATCAACTCATGTGACTCAACTGATAAAAACAGGTTAAAACAATTTTTTTTCCATATTTAATTAGGCCTTTAGTCTACCCCTTGGGTAGTTGTGTTAGGCTACTCCTTGTTTTTCATTTAGAGTAACACTATCTACCCCTTCGAAAAATAAAACAAAATAACGAATATGATAATTTAAATGCTACACAAAACCGATGCCCGAAACCCCCAATTTCCTCAATTTTCTTGCCCTAGTCGCCTAACAACTCGTATGAGCCTCTCCTCCGGCGGCCCAAGCCCTCACTAATTTTGGCGAACATCTGGCTCTTCTTGGGCCTGGCGGCGTGGCTGTGGCGCTCTCCCGTCTCCACCTTCTCATATGGTTCCGATCTCGCTCCGATTGCCATGGCGGGCAAGGAACAGAGGGTGGCGCTTGCAGCTGTTGTCCGGCGGACGTCGTGGGCGTCCATTGCGGCGGTTGATGGCGGCGGTCTAGCCGTGGTTCTCCCCTTGCCCGACCTTCCCTGGTGTTTGGAAGGTGGGGTCCTCCAGCAGCGGCTGTGCGATGGTGTGGTAGCGCGGTGGCTCCAGCGTACGCGTAGGGGTGGCTGTGGAGTGGTCCGGCCTGGGTCGGGTCTGTGGAGTACTGGAGGAGCTGTCGAGCTTTGTGGTCCGGATCTGGTTAGCCCATTAGGTGAGTTTTTGGATCCGATATGTTTGGGTTGTGGATCTTGTGGTTTTTCTTGGTATTTCGCGATGGGTGTTTGCTCGGGGTGTGGTGGAGCTTAGCTTTCCCATCCGATGGAGAGGGCTGTCGTTTTTTACTTTATTTTAGATTTATGTTGTTTGTGTTTCATTTGTGTTGTTGGTGTACGTTAGTGCTTTTTTCTCCGCTTTAGGAGTGTGAATTCTATTGTGGGGAGTATGTATTCTTCATTAGTGGATTTTTAGTTTTGGTGGTTTTGTTGTGTTGTGTTATAGACTACCTATAGTGATAGACCTCCCTTTTTCGGCTAATGAACGGGTTACAATTATGTATTTATTTTTCCTATNAAAAAAAAAGCCTATATGTCGACAAAAACCCGTTTTCCGTACAAAAACTGCAAAAAATCGCTGACGATTTGCAAACCGCCTCGCAGCCTACTGCCTCTCTTGTAAAAACCAACCCACCACAGACCCATTTCTCTCTTTCTGTACATTTTCTTTTTTTCGCATTCGTCCCTTTTTCCGACTAGGGTTTCTTTGTTTTAAGATGTCATCCACTGAAGCCAAGACGGTCGTCCTGAATACGTCCGACGGGGAGACTATCGAGATGGATGAAGCTAAGACGGTCGCGCCGAAGACCTCCGACGGGGAGACTTTCGAGGTGGATGAAGCTAAGACGGTCGTCCTGAAGAGCTCCGACGGGGAGGAGTTCGAGGTGGAGGAGGAGGTCGCCGTCGAGTCGCTGAAGATAAAGCACATAATTGAAAACGCATCCGCCGGCATCGTCATCTCGCTTCCCAAAGTCTCGTCGGGGGTGCTGACGAGGGTAATTGAGTACTGCAGGCGTCACGCGTTCGGGGAGTATGATGATACGTTGAAGGATTACGACGCCGAGTTCGTGAAGGTCGACAACGAGCTGCTATTTGAACTGATCTCGGTATTCTTTCAGCTTCCATCTCTATATTTTCGATTATTTTGTTTTGGACCTGGATTTTGTTGGCGATCTGGTTTTTCCGCTTGTTTTTGTGGCGTTTACTGTTTTTGCCTCTATAGTTTGATGACTCTGCCGCTATGTTCTGTTCTGTTCATGCTAATTTTATGCTTTGTTTGCTCTTCCATGACTTTGTGTTCTGTAACTCTGTTCTTTTATGGGTTTTTTTGTTTTTCCTTAGTGTATTTTACCATGAGATCTTGGTTTTTTTAACTGTACTAGCTTGTTTATGTGGGTTATGAACCAATGCTTTGATTATGCTGTTGTATACAAACTGTTCTAAGAATGTGCAGTGTGTAGGTGGTAGGCCTACATGCATTTAGGAGCAGCCTCTGTGTTTGTTGTTTCCTTTGTCATGATTTGTTCCTTTTTTTGCGTCTCCCCTATTTTGAATTTATGGATTATATTGCTGAGTTTTTTTGGTGAGCCTTGTTGAATTGTAGTATAAGTTTTATAAATTCAAGGATTGTAGTAGTGCTAAATAATTCTAATAGCATGGTCTGAAGTGTTTGTCCAGTGGCATGAGTTATTTCTGGTACAAGGCTATCCCTCAGTGCTTGATTCAAGAAGCTTTGATACAAGTGAAGGTTATTGTTATGTTTGTTTTATAGTAGTGCTCTCTGGCTTTTCAGGCTGCCGAATGCTTGAACATCCCAGGGATGCTTGATATCACGTGCCAAGCTGGGGCCAACATGCTCAAGGATAAGACACCCGAGGAAATCCGCGCTATGTTCAACCTCACTAACGACCTCACCCCAGAGGAGGAAGAGGAAATTCGCAAGGAGTTCTTGTGGGCCTTCGTGTAGCTGTAGGTTGCCTTTTGAACAAGTGTTGAAAGTAGGAAATCTGGTATCGTTTAATAATTGGAGACATTTCCCTATGTTAATTCTCATCTTCAAATCCAGTCCTTGTTTTGCTGCTTCCTGTCTTGCCATGGCAGCTTTTTATATTTTTGACAAGTTTGCTGACTTGATGATTACGTTAATTCCGAATTTATGAAGTAGTCCAATGTTGATTTTGCGTGTTTTTCTTGAAATTATGCCAAGTAGGTATGATTTGTTCCATATGGTAATGATGTTTGCCTGTGGCCTGATAGGTGATTTAATTTATACTTTATTTATAACATTAGAAAGTGACATATTTTGAGGAATTCAAAATAATCATCAAGGGATGTCGATTGGAGTGAAGGCCATTAGAGTGCGTGGGCTTAGCCCTGAATCTTGACGCCTGATCGTGGGGCTCTGTATCCTGTCTACATTGGTTTCATTTCTTATACTTTGTTGCTGAACATCACCATGCATCTCCTCAAAATATAACAGTGGAATGTATCTAAACTTAAGAGATGAACTTGAATAGAAAACTGAGTATAGCATGAGTATGTATATGATATTAACGTATGATAATAAGAGCTCTTAAACGAAATAAGCCGCTTGTGAACTCGACTCGATTCGTTACGGCTCTAACCAGGATCAGCTCATTTCTTTCACGTTCAGCTCGGCTCATCTGATAAATAAGCTTCAGTTCGTCAAAAGCTCGTTTGGTTAACGAATGGGGTTGGGCTAGACAGGACTCGACTAAGCTCAACTCGGTAAGACTCATTCAGGCTTGAAAATAAAAGCTTATATATAATTTTGTAAAAATTCGGCTCATTAAGGTTCGAGCTTGCTTTGTTAATATTGACAAACGAGACGAGCTCAAGTTCGAGTATTGGCTCATATAGTTAACGAGTCAAACTAAAGGAATAAGCTCGAGCTCTGCATGAACTTGAATGGAAGTAGAATTAGCACTGTGTTATATTTTTTAATCTATAATGTTAGATTATTATCTTTTTATATTTTTGTTTATTTAGTATTCAACAATATTATAATTATTGGATTGCTAGTAATTAATTCAGAATTTTTACATCATCAGTTAAAATGATTATAATCGAGTAGACTCGTATGTTGATAGAAGTCAGTTTTGTTTCAATCAAGTTAGCAATAATTTAGATATACATAAACAATGTGGATATTAAATGATAGACCCAAAGAATTATTAAATCCATTTATTACTCATACAAAACAGTAAATAAAAAATTATTAAGATTTTATATACCATATTTTTTTTTTCCATTGTCGCTATATACCAATCCTAATAATGCCCTGTTACGCAAAAATTACCCAAGTATTTTATCATTTCAAAACTCTTTAAACTATGATTATATATATTTAAAAATATATATACCATTATTAGGATTGGCATAAAGCCTTTCCACAATTCTTAAAAAACCTACAGATACTCCAAAATCCTCATAAAATCTCTAACATTAATCCCAAGATTTAGATACTACGAAAGCTTGTGAAACAAGAAAAACCCCAAATGAAACTTACTATATAATTAACATAACGAGTAAAAGAAACAGAGGAACAGAACAGAGTCTTCTCATCCAAACCCCAAAACTCTTCTATTCCCATCAGTCCACATGGCATCTTGCGCCCTTCCCCTCCGGCGAGCCCTCGCCATCTCCGCCACCTCCTCCGCCCATCTCCTCCGCACTCTCCGGCGGCCACTCTCCCAGACTCTCATCCGACCCATCACACATCCCCTTGTCTCCCGTGCCGCCGGCAACTTTTTTTCCTTGCCACGTGGCGCCTCTTTCTCCACGGCGGCCCACTCGAACGACACCTCATCGAGTGATGATGACGAGGATGATGATGACGACGATGATGACGAGGATGATGATGATGATGATGACGATGATGAGGATGGTGATGTCCACGTGGCGTTTCCGCAGCAGCCCCAACGTTGGACTGTCTCCGTGAAAATCCCGGGTGGCGTGAAATCGTTGGATGATAGAATCCTGTTCTACGAGAACACGGCCGCCAAAGTCTTCGGCAGGTTCGATTTTATTTTTTTTTTTTCGAATTAAAATATTATTTAAGTCTTTGAGGATATGTAATGAATTGCTCGTTCTTCTTGTTTTGTTTTTTTTTAAATTTTTGGTGTTTGTTCAGTGTGGAAGAGGCGAGGAAGAGGATATGCTCCTATGGCGTGTCGTATGAAGGGTTCATGGTTGAATGCACCGATGATTTGAAGGAGAAGCNTAAGTTCTGTATGTTTTTGTTGCTTGTGATTATTAATGAGGGGTTTTGTTGCTCTCTGTAGGTACCACTGGTGTTAGGTCTGTCATTCTTGCAAGTACTGAACCTCCTCAAGGTTAGACATATGACTTATATAACTATTCAATATGATTTATGTTACAGCATATAGGAAGAACAAACAAGATTAATGCTTTACTAAGTTTTTCGTGTTTTTATCTATCCACAGCAGAGAAGGTTAAAACTGGACCGATAAGCCCCCAACAGGCACCTCCGGCCCAGCCCAATTATGAACCACCAACAAGCACCAAAAAGGCACCTCCGGCCCAGCCCAATTATGTATGGTTATATAATATGGTATTCTTGGATGATTGAGACAATTAATCAATTGAAGCTAAATTGTTATTCTTTGTTGTGATTGTTGGACCTTTGTCACTTGCAGAAAAAGGTGGCAGCTGTGACCGAAGCATCGAATAATATGCAGGCTCAGTTGAATCAGGCTCAGGCGATCCTAAAGAAGGCGCACGAGAAGTTGGTTTGGGTGGAAATGGAGAAAGCCAAGGTGGAGATTGAGAAAGAGAATGCTGTGAATGAGCTCAAGGAAGGCCAAAGATTGCTTGAGAATACTATTAACAATCTCCGGGAAGGATTTTGGCCTACTCAAAAATGAGTTGAATAAGGAGTTATGGATTGGAAAAGTGCAAATTTATAGTTTTTATATATTATGGTTTTTATTAAAATTAAAGCTATCAATTAGGATATTTATTGTTAGGGATNTGAATGAATAATTTTGAGTATTGAATAAAATTTGGGGATCATTTAAATAATCTAGTCAAAAGTCTTATTTGTGTAAATGACCTCCTCATTTTTTATAAAATATGATAAATGAAAGGTAAAAAAATGCTATTATGTTATATAACGAATGTTTCTTCATTTTTCATATGATACAGTTATATAGAGAATGCATGCTCTTTCGTTTTTCATTATGATTAGTTCGTTATCTGATATATTTATTTTGTTAGAACTTATCATATTTTAAGTTCTAATTATTTACTTTATCTCTTGAATTTTTTGCTCAATTTTATATATTTTGTTATGAGGGTTTATGATTCCTTGAGTACAAGTATGTATTTTCACGGTCAATTCTTTATGTTACTGGTTTCCAGTTTTCATTATTTTTCTTTTCATATTCCAACATAGAGTGATGGAGTCATTTAAATTGTTGTCTAATAAAGACATTCCAACTTGATAGTTTAAGTTAAACTTACTTTTATCAAATTTTAGAATTTCATTTCCTTCCGCTATTAGAACATCAGAATAATCAATCCTTCTATTATCAACTAGTCTTATTGTGATAGATGAATCTATTCCTAGACTATAAGTTAATTTAAGAATTTTGTATAGTAGAAACATGTAAGTAAGAAATTTATTACTAGTTTATACTTTTATACCTTTCAATGAAAAAAATAATTGCTCTTACTGATAATGACGATAACAATGTTTCCTTCTGTATGGTTTCGTATCTATTCCTAATATATTTGCATCTATCGATGTTTCAATTAAGTAGTCTGATTTTTCATGTTTTGTGAAGCAATCTAAAAGATTATTTTCTTTATCCATGGCTTTCTTGAAAAAGAGGAAAATTTCTTTTTTCTTTTCTTTTTTTTTAGCTCTTTTTTTGGTAAGGAGACAATATTGTTTTTTATTCTTCCCTATGTTGGTTGGACATATTTATAACTTATAAGGGATGAATTAGAATGTGAAGAGGCGTTCGTGAACGGTGGTGTAAGACGATTCATTTCACGGATTGGACGCTGAGAAGAGGTGTTTGAGTTTTGAAAATCATTGTGTCTGTCTCGTTTGATTGAAACGGTTTTTATGTTGAGTAGACAAGTTGAAGAAGCCAACCAATTCATATTTTCACATGGCAGAATGGTATCTTCTCAAGTCCAGATGAATGAATTGGGAAAAATAAAATTCTCTTTCAGTTTCAACATCTTCAACCCTCCGATTTCTATTAGGCACAAGATTCCCAAATCCAAATAAGGCAAATGTCTTGAATACAAATTTAGATGTATTATAATATATCGTCACAAAACAAAATAAAAAATAAGGATATCATTTTCGCCGCATTGAATTTCATCATAACATGTATTAATGTGACGAATTTAGATGTATTATAATAAAAAAGATAAATATGATTTATTTATTTTATAAATGCAATATGGATGTCAAATCAAAGCTAATCAAAAGATGATAAATTTGATATATGACATGTGTAAAACTGATAAAAAATATAAAAGTTATTAACTTTTATAATACATTTATAATGCAATTGTTATAATCGGAAATGTTATTAAAATAAATTAATGTATGTAAAATGACCATAAATAATCAACATATTTATGGATAATTCGAACCTAATTATTTTGGATTGGAAGTAATTTAAAATCATCCCAACCAAATAACAAAAGCATGAAATTTCGTCACATAGGATCTCGAAACATGTGAGCCCGCTGTTTAGGCTCACAACGCTCGGTAATCTATATATATATAAGATAAGAATAAGGTTAATTCATTTTCAGAAACATTTTCCGCCAAAAATATTAATTACTTACTATAGATGGAAATAATATAATATAGGTTTAAATAAAAAAAAATAAAGCATTAATGATAGTTTTCATATAATAATGGCTTTCAGTTTATGTTTATTTTAGTCAATTTCCAAATTTCTTTTATGATAGTTTTTGATAGGCAAAGATTATGTAATGATTTTGGATTATAATTAATGAAGGATTTTTTTTTTAGTAGATTAGTATTTTGATTTAGATTTACATATGTATTATATACGCAAAATACAATTTTGTAGGACTATTTCAATTTATTTTTGGAGGAACCATTTGTTATGAGATATATACAAATCTAATTTTAGGTTAAAGCGCCCGCAAATCTCTGGTATTGTTTTTTACCATTTTTTTTAAAAATAAAATTTTCAAAATTTTGTGTAGTAAATCATATTTCTATTTTTGCTATGCAAAATTTATTTATATATATATAAATCTACTATATAAATTTTTTCATACATATAATAAGGCAGTTGTCTAATTTAAAACTGTTTGATTTAATAAGAAAAAAAATAGCATGAATTAATATCTAATTACTAATATTTTTATATTTTATATCATAAGATGTAATGTCTAGTGTTTTTCTAATACATATTATTCATGCATATTTCGCATTCATGAATATATTGTCGGTAATACAATTTATTAACGTATATAATTATTATTAATTTTTTAAGACCGTAATACATATTATTTACATGTAATATTTTATATATTTTTTAAACATGTTATTGGCAAACTTTTACACATCCTATATATATACATATATATATGTGTGTGTGTGTGTGTGTGTGTTTTAAACTTAAGTATTTTTAAACATGTTTTGCTTACACAATAATTTAGAAAAATTTTAAGTGACTTCACATTTTTTAGAATAATATATAATATTTTAGATAATTTTACATATATTATATAATATTTTATGTAGTTTTAATATTTTAAACATACATATTTAAGGTTCTTTTATATAATTAAAAAAGTATAAAAATATTAGTAAATATTATTTAGTTAATCAAGTATAATCGATATTAAATTGATAAACTAATAAAATTTATCGAATTGCCATGTAAATTATCATATGATAAATAAATCTTTCTGATCTTAGGTTTCCATTGAAATTACAGCGGCACCAGTTCCTACTTATAGTTTCGTATAAATAATGATAAAGAAGAGTTCGTTTTTAGTCATGATCAATTATATATTGTTGTTTCGTGTGAAGTAATAAAAAGAAGTTAAAAAATATTACTTTGTAGAATGACGAGTTATCCAGTAATCAAACTAATAATGTTGTGTACAAGGAGATTTTAATAATATATTATTTTTTCTTGAGGAATATTTTTATTATTTGACAATTTTCCTACGTATTATCACTCTTTTATTTATTAATACACTTCAATTTGTAATATACCCCACTTAGTTATATACAAGGGGGAAGGGGGATTATAAGCCTTTCCACAATCTATCTATATACATATAACTAGTGCGTGGCCCGTGCAATGCACGAGAAAACAATATTACGTTTGTATTATAAATTAAATATATAAATAACATTAATCATGATATATGTATTGTTTTTACATTAAACCGGGTTGGACACAGTCCGACCGGATGAACGGAGAACCGATTTATAACCAGTCTAGTTCACTTGAATAAAATATTTGCTTTTGAATCTGTCAACACCAGTCGGTTGGATTTGTAGGATCGACACGATTTTTTAAATAAATTTTATTATATTTAAAATTATTTTAAATAAAATTACATATTAAATAAAATAGAGATTTATAAATTATTTATCAATTAGTTTAAACATTTGAATTTATAAATTTTTTAAATAAAAAGTAACACATTTTGTTTAAATTTATTACAAAAATACTATATATATATATATATATATATATATTAAAATATTTATAAATTAAAATCTGAACAAACCACAAATGATTTAATAAAATAGCTTGATCGTTTCGATGACGGTCCAGTTCAGAGATCCTTATATTTAATGTACATTAATAAATATTATAATAAAATATTTTTTTATTCACATAAATATTAATAAAATGATATATAAATATTCATAAATCATTAAACATGTTGTCATAAAAGTATTGTTAATACGATTATTTAAAATTTGGACTACATCACATTCACGTAATAAAATATTTTCAATATAAAATTTATATTTAGGTTCAATAATCGATTTGGTGTGATCGAACTGATTCATAACTTAGTCACTTGGGACCAACCAAGTTGTGTCAAGTTTTTTTACTATTTTAAATATCACCTAAAAGTAATTCAATCCACATGGGCAGTACCCTAATTCAATCACCTGATTGATCCGAAGAAATTTTCTTATTTTTTTTTTAAATATATTTAATTTTATGATATAAAAATATTTTATGATTCATATAATAAATGTCTACACCAAATGATAGTATATTAAGATTATAAATTATATATCTTAAAATGAATTAATTATTTTTACTTTATGCATATTAATAAAAAATAAACATAGTAATTTTCAAAAAATTAAGATTAATTGATTGATTATGCAATTTAAAGAATATTTTTAGCGTTCAATTTTTTTCAAAGACACAAATATAAAGACCAAGATTCTAATACTTTTGTTATATCTTGAATTGAGATTTTATAAATATAGAGACCGAGATTTTAATTTTGTTCGTTGTTTCTAAGAAAAAAATAAAAATAAAAACATACACACTCAATAAATCTTAGCCGGATTTTTTAAATAATAAAATGAACTATAGCCCGAAATTTAAGGTAGCATTTAATACTGTATGAATTTTAAAGAAAAAATAAGAAAAATAATAAAACTTACTATTTATAGACTGCATTAAATTTTGACCTATTTTTTTTGCTACTATTTTTGGTAAATGTTAATTCTTATTATATATATATAGATTGCTGGCTAATTAATAAAAATCATTTCGATTTCCCTCCAAAAACCGTAACAAACTTTATCATTTATATCTCTCTCTATATTTAATTACCAACAATAAATTTAACAATATTAATTATTGTTTACCTTCTTTTTATGTTACAATCTTCTATTATTATTATTAATCCATTTTATCTAATTAATGCTAAAATATTTCATTGCACTTTTTTATGGTTAATTAAGACAAAAACCGTTACATTTTACATTAATGGAGTAATAATTATATTATTTTACAATATCATATAATAGTTGTTATTAAAACTAATAACTATAGTTTACACTAAATAATATATGAAAGTTACATAAATATAAAAAAATATTGTAAACTTTTGCTAAAGTTATTTATTCTAAAATTAATATTATAACTTTTTATCTTATTTAACGGTTGTATTTTTAAATAAGTTAATTTATTTTAATGTTATAGTAAAATTCCTTAAAATCGCATAATCAAATGTTATAATAAATTTAATATTTTTAAGCTAATAAATTGACGATCTCTCAAAATTACATTATTTATTATATTTTATGTAATTAATATAGTGGTTCATTTGCAATCAAATAGTTATGTACTATTTATTTTAACCAATGATCAAATTTTAAAACATAATATCATTATCTAATTTATATTTTTATAATTATTTGCATAAATATAATTTTTAATACTCTATGTTTAAAATATAATATCATTGTATAACTTATAATTTTAATACTATATGCATAAATATAACATATAATATTCTATTTACACTGTGGACTGGGTCGAATACTAGTTCTTAAAAGACCTACATATACTCCAAAATCTCTACATGAATCCCCTAAGATTTAGATACTACGAAAGCTTGTGACACAAGAAAACCCCCAAAAAATGAAACTTTCTATATAACATAACGAGTGTAAAAAACAGAGGAACAGCGTCTCTCTCATCCAAACCCCAAAACTCTTTTATTCCCAAACCTCATCAGCCCACATGGCGTCGTGCGCCCTTCCCCTCCGGCGAGCCCTCGCCATCTCCGCCACCTCCTCCGCCCATCTCCTCCACACTCTCCGGCGGCCCATCTCCCAATCGCTCATCCGACCCATTGCACATCCCCTCGTCTCCCGTTCCGCCGGCAACTCGTTTTCCTTGCCACGTGGCGCCTCTTTCTCCACGGCAGTCCACTCGAACGACACCTCATCGAGTGATGATGGCGAGGATGGCACCGTCCACGTGGCGTTTTCACAGCCCCAGCGTTGGATGGTCTCCATGGAAATCCCGAATGACGTGATTTTGTTGGACGACAAAATCGAGTTTTACGAGAAGACGGCCGCGAAAGTCTTCGGCAGGTCCAATTTTTTTTACTTTTTTTTTCATTTGTTTATGTTGAATTAAAGGATTTGAGTCTTTGAGCATATGTAATGAATTNCAAGTACTGAACCTAAAGGTTGGATATATGACTTCAAAAACTATTCAATATGGTATAATTACATAATTTGTGAACTCAATCATTCAATGTGGTTTGTGTTGGAACATATGCTTTCATGTTGCGATCTAACTGCAGCAGAGAATGTTAAAACTGGACCGATAAGCCCCCAACAGGCACCTCCGGCCCAGCCCAATTATGGTGGACCGACAAACACCCAACAGGCACCTCCGGCCCAGCCCAATTATGGTGGACCGACAAACACCCAACAGGCACCTCCGGCCCAGCCCAATTATGGTTATGATTATATGGTATTCTTGGATGATTGAGTTAATTCAGACAATTAATCAATTGAAGACAAATTGTTATTATTCTTTGTTGTGATTGTTGGACTTTGTCACTTGCAGAAAACTGTGGCAGCTCTGTCCGAAGCATCGAATAATATGCAGGCTCAGTTGAATCAGGCTCAGGCTATTCTAAAGAAGGCGCACGAGAAGTTGGTTTGGGTGGAAATGGAGAAAGAGAAGGTGGAGATTGAGAAAGAGAAGGCTGTGAATGAGCTGAAGGAAGGCCAAAGATTGCTTGAGAATACTATTAACAATCTCCGGGAAGGATTTTGGCCAACTCAAAAATGAGTTAAATAAGGAGTTAATTGGATTGGAAAAGTGCAGATTTTTATAGTTTTAATATATATTATGATTTTTATTTAAAATTGAAGCTATCAGTTAGGATATTTATTGTTAGGGATTGACTTTTTGTTGGTCTAGTTTTGTTACTTATATAAGGAGAGAGTCTATGAATTAATTAATGTTTTTGAGTATTGAATAAAAATTTGAGTGGTCTATCTTTCGTTGGTGAACATTTTGTCACCAACTATTTATTGTCATT